TAACCGTGTCTGAGCACAGACACAACATGGACCTCGTCCAAACCATAGAGATGAAGACACATCCCCTTATTCTGGCTAATATGAGTGATTGGTGCTTCTCTACTATGACAGCTCTGGTCTCCTCTCCTTCTAGATAAACTGTGTTAAAATGCACAATGATAGAACTACCCTTACTCCTGGACAGCATCCGATTCAAAGCAAAGCACCACTTCCGTGAGTCACCTAGCACAAACCCAAATCCTTTAAGTTCTTCCCACACCCTCATGCTGAGAAGCCTCACATCTCCCCATAATGGGAGTTTTCCCTCCTTGCAATGAGCAAGAAAGCCAACTTGCCCGACTGCACATGTGTTCTTGTGAGTCTTTGGTTGGAATGCATTGGCAGATGCTACGGTGGCGGCCTGCAGTTATGTGTGCAGGTAGATTGTATTGTCTGTGAATTTCATTTTAGGAGAGTTAAAGGACTTTAGAAAACATTTGTTATAAAAAGGAGACATTGAGTCTGGTAGAATCATTGATAGAGATTTTCCAAACATGACCCTACCTACAGGTAAATCACAGGTATGTTATTATATCTCTGTGTTGTATAAATCCTACCTGTAAATGTAAGCACTGCATGGGAGCGCCATTTAATCAGTGGGGAGTGTCAATTTACCTCACTCCTTCAGAATTGCCCTCTAACCAAATATAGAGCAAACTATTCTGCCTTGCGCTTTAAGAAAAATGACTGGCAAGGACCTGCCTCTCAGTCGATCCTGTCCTGGTCCAGTTCTCTCGTTCTGATTCCTTTTGTCACTGTTTTGTGCTTGAACATATTGGGTACTACTGTCATGTAAGGAGTCCTCGGGTGGCGCAAACGGTTAAGCGCTGGACTATTAACCAACAGGTTGGCGGTTCGAACTCATCTAGAAGCACCTCTTGGAAGAAAGGCTTGGCAATCTGTTTCCAAACGGTCACAGCCTTGAAAACCCACACGCTCTGCCCACCTGGGATCGCCGTGAGTGGGATCGCCGTGAGTGGGATCGCCGTGAGTCGATTTGGTGGCCATATAATGTTGCCACTCCCCCTTCAGGAGCGCGTGCATCTGTAGCATCTGCTTCTCAGGTGTGAGCTTTTCCTTCCGCAGGTCAGCACATCTGGCACCTCAACCATCCTGCCAGCAACTGTTTCAAATGAATGGACGAAAGTATTTTCATGACCTTGTGGAATGCAACTGCCATTCTTTCTTACTTTTTAAAAATCAGCAGCTTATATAAGCATTCTGTTTCTCAATTGCTAACACTTCATTTCCATGCGCTCTCTACAGCCACATACTCTCACTGGTTTCCTTGGTGTATGCTGGAGGACAATTCGACTAAGAAATATTGCTTTTATTAGTGTGTAGAAGGAGGTAGTTTAAATTTGTTGTTTTTGTGTGCCTTCCAGTGATTCCGACTCATAGCAAACGCGATCGGACAGAGCAGAACTGCCCCATAGGGTTTCCTAGGCTGTAATCTTTACCGGAGCTGATCGCTAGGACTTTTCTCCCGTGGAGCCACTGGTGGGTGCAAACCCGCGACCTTTCAGTTAGCAGCCAAGCTCTAAACAATTGCACCCCCAGTGCTCCTAAGGCTAAATATCAACAAATGAGTAAATTCTTTGTTTATTTTCTATTCAACAGTCCCTCACCCGAGGTCGGGGAGGGTGAGGACCTTTGGTTTTTTCGCTGACGCCTCCCAACAGTTAAGGAGACAATACCTATTGTATGCATAAATGAGTGAGTGAATGAATCAATCAATCCATTAACGATTCATTCATCCCTCTCCTCAGTCCCCGGAATCACGTGTGTTAACCTCCGAGCCCCAAGGTCAGGGTGTCCCCAGAGTCAGGCCAGTGTGGGAAAGGGCGCAGCGCGGCGCTGGAGCCTCACCGCCTGCACCCTCTCTTTCCCACGGACAGCCTCCGCCTCCCCGACTTCGCTGAGTTCAGAAGTGGCCCGCAGGACAGGCGGGTACCGCCCCCTCGGAACCCTCTCCCAGGGCGGGGGTGGAAGGTGCGGCAGCGACTGCGGGCGCGCTCCTCCTTTCGCCGAGTCCTAAGGACCGCGCGCTCGGAGGTGCTTCCGCGCTGGGCAGCCCTCGCCTGGACCAAGGTCGGCTCCGTCGAGTTCACGGCCACCGCCCCAGCTCCAAGGATGGGGGAGGGAGGCGGGCAGGGGTGCGGGGCTATGGCACCCAGGCCATTCTCAGGCCAAAAACCCAAACCCAGTGCCCTCGAGTCGATCCCGACTCACAGTGACCCTATAGGACAGTAGAACTGCGCCACAGGGTTTCCAAGGAGCGGCTGGTGGATTTGAACTGCCGACCCTTTTGTTAGCAGTTGAGCTCTTAACCACTGCGCCACCAGGGCTCCATTCTCAGGCCAGAACCCCTCTAACAGAAGGGTGGTAGTGGGGGTAGCGGGCGTAGCCGGGGACAGCCTGGCAGAACTGGGCTCCTTGCCGTCGGTACAGCTGACCACCTCGTTCTGTACCCTTGGCAAGCTTTTTACAGTATTTTGTTTTCAACTGTTTGAAACATGAAGCACATTGTCATCTTCTTTCCTACATGGTAAAACAATCCGAAGTACAAAAAAGGAGTGAAAAATAAGTCTTTCTCCCACCCATGTCTCCCGGTCACCACGTCTGCAGTTTCTCCCCGGGGGGCACCACGAGGGTTGATTGACAAGAGAGCAAGGAGACTGGATCCTGGGATCTGCGTCCTTGGGGAGGGGGGCTGTGCGAGGGGAAGGGAAGTCGTTGCTGTTGGTTGCCGTGGAGTCCATTCCGACTCGTGACGACCCCATGTGTACAGAGTAGAACTGCTCCATAGGGTTTTCAAGACTGTGACCTTTAGGAAGCACATCTCCAGGCCTGTCTTTCCAGGTGCCTCTGGATGGGTTCGCCACCCTTTGGCTAAGTGGTCCAGCGCTTAACCATTTGCACCACCCAGAGACTCTTAAGGGGAAGTTAAGAAGTTGTTTTCAGGAGGGTTGATGGGGGTGGGCGTGAAGTGCAGGGAGAAGGACATCTCTGGGTGGAGCTCAGGCTCTGCCTGTCTACAGAGAAATGCCAAGTGAGGGAAGCACCTCCTTACCAATGAGGTGAGGATGGGGAAGGGTTCTCTCCCAGACTGGCCTGCAAGCCTAGAGCAGTGGGGGGTGTGTGTGTGTGTGTGTGTGTGTGTGTGTGTTCAAAGCACTCTGCTGCCAACTGAAAGTTTGGGGGTTCAAACCCTCCAGCTGTTCCATGGGAGAAAGACGTGGCAGTCCGCTTCCCTAAAGATTAGAGCCTTGGAGACCCTATGGGGACAGTTCTACTCTGTCCTACAGGGTGACTATAAGTCTGAATCGACTTGCCAGAAGTGGGTTTGTTTTTTTTTTATTTCATCCTTCTTTTACCCCTTTGTATTCACAGGTTAGTAAGGAGAGAGGAAATTTGATTTCAGTTTTCCACCTGGCGTATGGTAAAAAAACCCCAAAAAGCCAAACCCGTTGCGGCCGAGTTGATTCTGATTCATGGTAACCTCAGATGCTACAAAGTAGAACTGCTCCATAGGGTTTTCTTGGCTGTAGTCTTTATGGAACCAGATCATCAGGGCTTTCTTCTGCAGTGTTGCTGGGTGGGTTTGAACTGCCAACCTTTCGGTGAGTAGTCAAGCACAAACCATTTGCGCCACCCAGATACCTTTGGCATGTGGTAACCCTTGGCTGTCGAGTCGATTCCCACTCACAGCGACCCCAGAGGACAGAGGAGAACTGCCCCATAGGGTTTCCAAGGCTGTGCTCTTTACGGAAGCAGACTGCCCCACCTTTCTTCCTCGGAGCAGCTGGTGAATTTGAACCACTGATCTTTTGATTATGTTCAAACATGTTCGTTTCTCCCTCTTCTTTCATCATCTGCGTTCTGTATGATCTGCGGCACTTTGCTGATGCAGGTTGGGCAACACTACAGTGGGGCAATGCAGGGCCTGTTCCCACTAGTTTGGGGACAAGTTTCCTCCCAAAGCCTTGGGGTCACCAGGAAGGTGGGCACCAGCAGGCCCTGCTCTTGGATTTCCAGGGGCTCTTGTTCGCAATGTGGTAACCACCAGCAGTATTTGCACCTCACATTTCATGACAGGTCATCCCCCTGCTCCCACCTATCCAGATCTGGGTGCTTTCTTTGATTTTCCCCAGAATCATGACCACGAGACCTGGGTACATGTAAACAGGCTTTACTGAAAGAGTTGGGACAGTGGAGTGGTTTTATATCACAGCAAAACACAACCTCTGTTTATATTTAAGTCATCCTCCTTTCTTACAACTTCTCTACCTTTGGGAGTTCCTCCGTGACCTCTTTCCTCCCCAGACCAGCGTCTCTGCTAAGCTGACTCCCCTCCCCGCCCCCCGCCCCCCAAATGCTCTCTTGCCCTCTCAGTGTCTCCCCTCTCAGAGGCAGAATAACCTCGTTCAGTTGAGGTTTTAAAAAACAAGTTCTTCATCCTGCTATACTTAGTGTGAATAATAATAATAATAAACAGAGATAAATGAAGGAGACAGAAGTCCTCACCACTGTACAGAAACGGGTCCCCTCCCTTTCCCACACCGAAGCACCATGAACACTCGTCCCACCCTGCCGAAGACAGACGCAGCCCTCCCCCAGCCCCAGTGACCCTCCTTCACGTCCCTCCACGTCCTCATTTCATTTCCTCCTCTTGGATCTCAAAAGCTGTCAGAGAAAAGTGCTAAGCCCTGTCCTCTCTTCACAGACGTGAGTGGCCGGGAACCATACTGAATAATGAGAGGGGGAGTGACAGACCTGGAGAGGGCAGAGCCAATGGCAAGAAGCCATCCTAGAGCTGGAAGGTTTATTTGGGAGCGAGGAAGATGGCTCCTGGGAGGGGAAGCCACACTGTGGACCCATGGCATTTCCACACTCAGCACCCAGTGGGCAGCCTCAAAACTCCCATTACAAAAGACATAGCACAAACACAGTTTCTGCACCTAGACACCCCGGTCCTGCAGTACGGCATCTGCGCTGAGCTTCTCTAGCTCTTCACTGCTGGGGTCCATGGGGCATGGCTGGTACCTGGTACTCAGGACCGCTATGCTGGAGGAGCAGCGGCGGTGCCAGAGGCTGCAGAGGGCATAGATGACGGCCAGCACCGCAGCCTGTATGGCCAGGTGCCAGCAGAAGAAGATGGTGAGGAAGGCAAGGTCCTCGGGGCTGTCTGCCCTCCAGGGCTGGCCGGAGGGAGGAGCATACATTAGCACACAGAGCTGCAGCAGCCAGCTGCTGAGCACCAGCCCCATCCAGGTCTTGAGCACCCAGAGTGTGGGCTGGTCGGGGAACCAGACCTCAGTGGTGAGCACCAGGGCCACCAGGAAGGCGGGCACCATAAACAGGATGTGCACTCGGATCTCCAGGGTGCTCTTGTTCTCAATATGGGTCGCCATCAGCAGCACCAGCACATGGAAGGCCAGGGCCTCGGCTGCTCGCTCCAGCTTCAGCTTCTGCTGTGCCTGACATGACTGGCTCACAATGTCCACCACGCCACTGAGCAGAAAGAATCCATACATGGTGACGTGCTGCCAGTTGTCCTTGAATATGAACGGCCGCCGAGGGTCCTCCCAGTCTACCATCGTCAACCGGTTTTCCCCTGGAGGATAGAAGAACTCGGGTATGATACCAGCTGTGGTGATGACCACCTTCACTACCCCTTCCAGAGGCACCAGCTGCCACCACCTCTGCCCTCGCTTCTCTCTTGGGGGCAGAGGGAGTTTGAGGAGCCTCTGTCCCCGTAGCAGGGCCAAGGACACCAGCACTGAGTAGTAGAGTGAGTAAAAGAGGAAGAACATCCCTGGCAGCAGATGTCCCTCCAGGGTGCCCATGGCCGAGCTCGGTGTGCGTGTCGGGGCCAACAAGGAGAGCTGGTGGATGAGCAGCAACCTCCGAGGCTGTCCTCACAAGCAAGAGCAGCTGCTAGCGAGCCGTGTGGAGATCCTCTTGTCAGCCCTTTCCACACACGGCATACTTCCCTGTTTGCCTTGCCCCATTACTGGGAAAACTGGAAAGAAGATTAGTCACCCTACAGGGTGGGGCCTCTCTAAGAGGTGGCACTTCATTTACCTCACTCTGTTTCCTAATTAAATCTTACTTAAATCTGCTGGGTGTGGGATTTGAATGTCTGTACGACACTGCAGGCAGCTGTTTGACAGGCACTTGGCTTACGCTTTCAGCCCTACAGAGAGAGGGGGCAGAAGGAGTTAAGGTGCTCCAGCAAAAAGGGGTGGTGGGCTGACTCTCACATTGAACATTTCTCTGTGCCAAGCACATGACGTATTTTTTTTCTCATTTAAATTTCTCAGCAGCTCTAAGAGGGAGATAGTATTGAACCAATTTTGTAAGTGAAGTTGAGGCTCAGAGGGGTGAAGGGACATGCACCAAGTAATACATCTAGCAGCCACTGTAGCAGAGCCCGGACATGGATCCAGGTTGATCCATCTGCTTACAAAGTCTAGAGTTTCTGCACAGCAAAATGATTGACTCTCAGCTCCAACACTTATAAGGCACATAGCTATGAGCAAGTTACTTTGTCTTTTTGAGCCTCTTTTCCTGATCTATAGACTGGAAATAATAACTACTTCTTAGGTCTGTTGTGAGGATTAAATAGGACAATGTATTGTAAAGTATCCAGTACATGGTAAACATTCAATAAATGGCAGTGATTATTAATAATTTTTACTATTGTTATTAAGTTTCCTTGCTAAATTCCTATGATTCTGAAATTGTTCAAGTAGTTCTACTAATGATACCAAATCAGGAACTATAAAGATAAAAAAATGAAATAACTATATGTTATGGATTGAATTGTGTCCTAACCTCTACCCCTGTGGTTATAATCCCATTTGGGAATGATTTGTTATGTTAGTGAGGCAGGCAAGTATAGGGTGGATCTTGAGTCAATCTCTTTTGAGATATAAGAGATTAAACACACGAACTAAGAAGCAGAGATGGGGTAAAATGCATGCCAAGACACGTGGAAATCTCCAAGGAAGCAGAAGCTGAAGAGACAAGGACCTTCCTCCAGAGCTGACAGAGAAAGAGAAATTTCTCCTAGAGTTGGCGCTCTGAATTCAGACTTCTAGCTTCCTAAACTGTGAGAAAATAAATTTCTGTTTGTTAAAGCC